GCGCACAATCGAGGCGAAAATGCCAGCGATACATTTGAAGATGAAGACCGTTGTATCAAAAGAGCCCAGGAACATGGTTCGAGTGTTCGAGCCAGCCGCGTGAAGAATTACAAGGTGATGTGGATGCAATGTCATGAGGGGAAGTTGAACGGTGACTGGCACATAACACATCCTTGGCGTTGGAAGCACTGCATACGGAGTGGCAGGGACAAGGAGCACTGGCAGTATCAGGGCACTCTGCGGGAGCACAGGGATTACCCGGGCTCTCTGTGGAGAAACTTTGATTGGGATTTTCCTAGAATAGGCCCACGGGCAGCACAGTTTGTAGGAGATCCTGACTATCTCAGGGGTGTTCGGGGCTGGCTACTCGCCTGCCGCGCAGCGTAAGCCCCAAGTCCCACCTTGCAATCCACTAGTCCTCACCGTTACACGACTGCATGCAAGTTCCTAATCGCTTGCTACAGGTACACTGAAGCCATCGAGGTGATTTACAAAACCAACGCCCTCCACATCCACGCCAGCCTGGCTTTCGGGCCTGAGGTTGATATCCTTCCTCGGTACAGAGCTTTCGTCAGATCGCTCGACTGGACGGCCGATGCAACGCATTTGATTTTTGATGAAATAGGACTATCACCAAGTCGACTTCCACGGATCTCGACAATCTCCGACCTATGTCGACCTTTTCCAAATCTCCGGAGACTTCGATTGTGCCTCCCCCATCTTTGTTACCGCAAGGACAGAGAACGCGTCGGAACCAGGCACTTCCAAGTCTTGCTTCAATCTCTGGACTATTTTGTTCACCACTTGGACAGGCCTTTCGAGTTAGAGGTTGAAATTTGTTTCAAGATCATCGAGGCCATGTTCCGCGGTGTCTTGACACAAGAGGTGAATGTCAAGCTGGAAACCCCAGGATGGAGGCCAGGCATGTTCACCCAGTCAAATCGCTTTCCTCGGCCGAAAGAACGGGTGCAAGGCGTGGTAGGCCCACGCCTGCGAGTTTGGCGGCCGGTTCAATCCAAGCAGCTTGCAAGGGAGGGACATGAAGGTGGAACGGAGCGGGGGTATTGGCTGGGAATCGCAATGGAGAGCCACGGCGACAAGCTGACGGAGAGCGACGACCAAAACTTGCACAAGAGCGAATTTTTGGAGGAGATGCACGCCATAGTGGAAACTTCTATTCCACACATGCGTGTTAAGTGTGTATTTCAGTTTGCAAGTCTTCCTTTGTTATTACCTCGCTTCCACTCAGGCCGCAACTAAATCTGTGCAAAAAACCCTATTCCAATCTCGAGCCTCCCCCATAAGGTCTCGCTCTGTTTGCTAACCAGAAGTCCACAGCATCTCCAGCATCAAATCATCATCGGTTTCGTGGTCTAGCGGTATGATTCTCGCTTAGGGTAACTCCCTGAGTCAATTTGCGAGAGGTCCCGGGTTCAATCCCCGGCGAAACCCTATCTTCAATGTCCTGGTCCCCTGTGGGCCAAGTTTCCCTTTTTGACCCATCGAGATCCACACACAGCCCATTCCAACCCAACAAGCAGAGCTCAAGCCAGCATGATTTGGCATCGGGTCAGCAGTCAACGGTAACCGGTGTTTATTAAGTTGGTTTGAGTGTTGCCAGGTTCCCCTGAAGAACTGGAACTATTTCTTATTTCATCGAGTTGAGTTGGTTGTGGTTGAGTTGCGCTGCTTGTTCACGATGCTGATACCTCGTCGTACTACCTTGTCCACCCCTGAGACTCCCCGATCCTGCCAGGTCATATTCAAAAAAATCATCACCCCCCTGACATGTGTATCCAAGCAGATGTCCATTTCTTGCCAAAAGAATCTGATCAAGAAACACCCTCGGGAATGACCTTCGCCATCAGCTCCGCATTCTGCGAATAGTCGATATTCACGTCCACCACCACCACCCCCTTCCACGCCAACGCCTTCTTCACCGCTGCCTCTAGCTCCGCCGAACTATTCACAGTCATCCCCTTTGCTCCCATTGACTCAGCATACTTTTTGAAATCCACCCCTCCCAACTCAACCCCAGAGCTCCTCCCGTACTTGTCCACCTCCTGGAACTCCACCATGTTGTACCGCCCATCATTCCAGATGAAATGGGTGATGTCGCACCCCTGCTGAACAGCAGTGACTAGTTCCTGGCCGCTGAAAAGAAACCCGCCATCTCCACTGATGGAAACGACCTTCTTCGATGAAGGGGGTTCCTGAGAGAGGGAGGCGCCAATTGCCCAGGGTAGTGCTACGCCGAGGGTTTGCTGCGCGTTGGAAACGAGGAAGGTGTGTGGTTCGTAGGAATAGAAGAAACGGGACAGCCAAATGTAGACGGAGCCGACATCGGAGATGACGGTCGTCGAAGGGGGGAGGAGGGACTGCAGGATGCGAATAAAGTATAGCGGGTGGATGAGTCCTCCGTTGGGATTCGGTTGGGCATGCGGGTCGCAGTGCCAAGCGTTCATGGAGGAGAGAATAGACTGGGCGATGGGAGTTTCTTGGGGACGTGCGACGGGGCTCGACGAGAGAAGACTGATCAGGGCGGTGATGTTCTCTGTGACGGAGCCGACGAGTTCGATGGCCGGTGAGTATGAGCCCACGAGGTCTGCGGGTGCGGTATCGATGTGCAGGATGGAAAAGCTATTGGTCGGGTTGAGGAGATTGGCGTCATACTCGGCTTGGTCGTACCCGACAGAAATGAGCAGGTCCGCATGCTCGAGCAGCTTGTCGCCGGCTTGGTTGCGGAACAGTCCGATGCGGCCGAAGAAGAGATGTACCAGTTCCTCGGATATTGCACCAGCGGCTTGGAATGTCTCGACCACGGGGATAGGATGCTCCCGTAGGAAGGCGTGCACTGCCGATACCACCGGCGCATCTGCAGCTCGCGCGCCCAAAAACAGCACGGGGAAACGCGCCGACGAAATAGCGGCAGCGGCTATGGCGAGGAGCGCCGCCGGTGAGGGCCCATACTCGGAGGGCAGAAACTTGCTGGAGGGAAATGCCGGGATGCTCGTCTTCATTCCGGACGTCATGACGTCAATCGGCAGAATAATGGCCGTTGCGCCCCGGGGATGGGTGTTGGCGACGCGGAAGGCATCGACAAAGATCTCGGCGACTTGATCTGGGACAATAGCGGGAACCGCTTTCTTCGTGACGGGCGCGAGCAAGTCGGTGGTGCGAAGGCTTTGATGTGTGCGCTTCGCCGCCTGAGCGCGCTTCACATTCCCGACGATGGCCACCATGGGCGCGCCTTCGTCTGTCGCCGTGATCAAGCCCGTGACAAGATTGCTGGTACCGGGCCCTGACGTCGCAATGCAAACGCCGGGCCGGCCCGTCAGCTTTCCGACTGCGGCGGCAATGAATGCTGCGTTCTGCTCATGGCGGCAGACGACGAGCTTGATTTCAGGGTGGTCGATCAGCGCGTTGAAGACGGAGTCGATTTTGGCTCCTGGCACGCCAAAAACGTATTTGACCCCTGCAGCCAGCAGTGAGTCGATGGCAACTTGCACTGTCTCGGTCGTCATTGTCGCAAGGAAGGTGCGACAGCAGCAAAGTCGCACCAAGTGGATCGAGGACTGTGTCGAGCGAACTTTGTTTCTTTGGAACGGAAATCATCTGGAGATAAGCAAGGCCCTTGCATCATTTAATGATGATAACATTTGGCAGATCAATTGACCAACCAGGGCGGTACGAGGTTCGGATGCAACGCGGCCTCAGTCAGCCCACCTTCATTCATCGAGGTCGGCCCGTCCGGAACCGGCGGAAGGTGCGGTTTGTGGAACCGATGGTATCCGCCGATCCGGCTTCGGGGGCAGTCACAACCAACGAAAAAACCAACTGCAACAACACTTGTGACGTCGAACGAATTGCCAAACCCGCAAAATCGTTTGACACGCCAACAAAACTCGGAAACTCAGCAAGCAAAAACGCAGCACTTTCCCCCACGACACCTCTCAAATCCAACACCACAACACTCCCCAACTCCAATGCAAACGCCCAAAATGGTCGAACCCGTACCCAACGAAATTTACCAATACTCCATCATATCCGCCCTCATGGACGGCGTCGCCTCCCACGGCATCCCCATTTCTTCCCTCCTCGCCCACGGCGACCACGGCCTCGGCACGTTCCGCAACATGGTCGGCGAGATGATCATCCTCGACTCCACCGTCTACCAAATGAAATCCGACGGGTCCATCGTGCCCATCACCTCCCCCGCGGAAGTCATCACCCCCTTCGGCGTCATCACGAAATTCGAACCCACGCAGCGTGTCAAGGCGTGCATCTCCGGGAAGGAGGATCTGGCGAAGCTGTTGAAAGGGTTGTTACCCGGCGCGAGGAATCACTTTCTCAGTATGAGGATTGACGGCACGTTCAAGAAGATCCATGCGAGGACGGCGGGAGGACAGGAGCACCCTAGGGAGGGGATGGTGTCGGTTGCGGGCCGGCAGAGGACATACACGTTTGAGGGGGCAAAGGGGACGATTTTTGGGTTTCGCTCGCCGGAGTATGTCATGGGGATCAACGTGGCGGGTGAGCATATGCATTTTATCAGTGAGGATCGGTTGAGGGGCGGGCATGTCTTGGGGTTTGAGACGGAGGGCGAGGTGGAAGTGAGTGTGTCGATGGCGTCGAGGTTTCATATGGAGTTGCCGACGGGGGACGAGGAGTTCAATGAGGCGGCGCTGGTTCAGGATTCGCAGGGGATTGCGTCTGTGGAGGGGTGATTGCTTGAGGACGATGCTGGAGTTTCTGCGGTGAGATTCTGAAGGAGTATCGTAACGCGAGACGGAGGCTGTACGTTAGACGATTCTCCCGGATCGGATCGGGAGCAGAGCAGCTGTACGAAACATTGCGATTTGTTTTCTCGTGCTTTGGCCTGTTATTTGCCCTGTAAGACTTTCAGATAGTAGTTCTGGTGTGCAGAGGATGGTGTTTGCCGAGCCCTGGGCCCCAGTGGTCCATCAACACTACGTCGACAACAGCTTCCATCAAGAAAAGGGCGTGTGGCTCAGTTGGTAGAGCGTTCGCTTAGCATACTACAAAACACTCCGACATGAGTCAATTCTGTATGCGAAAGGTCCTGGGTTCGATTCCCAGCTCGTCCAAGTAGCCTCCACTGGAAAGTGGAGTCCTCTTTTTGCATGTCTCCATCTCCCTGCACTTAGATCAAGACAAACCTCGCCCCCTTTTTGACCTCATGACAACTTACTGGCCCGCGGAGGAGCAAATGCACCGTTTATACGCCGAAACCAGCGCTTGTCCTAGTATCCCCCCCTCCCCCCCCCCCCCCCCTTTACTAACTTGACGAGTCAACGCTCGCTCTATGGTTTCGAAAAAAGACGGGAGGTATGGAAGAATCTTTTGCGTCAGCATTGTCCGTCAACCATTGAGTTGAGTTGCTTTCACAGAGTCAATACTGACAATACAGATGGTCAAGGATAGGAGGCTTGTCGTGTGAACGGGATCGCTGTATGTGTAGAGCAGTTGACAAGGCAAGTTGTTTGACGAAAACCCGTAGTTACTTACCTTATACCTTATATTTATTCCAGTTCCCAGAAACATGCAAGCCCCTGAACTGCCAAGACATTCTCTTGGAAAGCCACAATCAAGTTCCCGGCCCGGAGCGAGTCCCGCGCCAAGCAGATTCGGGTGATGTGGAAGCCCCGAACGCCACTGTTGTGGGCGCTGCACGATAGCGGATCCCTCCGACGAATCGATTGTTGATGATATGCCCGAAAGCGCCGATCTATACAGAAAAACAAATCGATGGCTGCATTTGTCTCACCGATGGAGCAATCATTTGTTGCAGATAAGCCAGGATGAGTTGGCAATCGGTGGTCTCCACGGCACCGGACGCAACTCCTCCGGGCTTGCTTCCAAGTTTTGCGGTGACGGGGAGCATTTGTGCTTCCCTCAACAATTTGCGAGGGAAGAAGCAATTGACTTTGCATTTCTCTTCTTTTGGTGTTCTCAAATGGCCAGGCGCTTGTTTTCTTTCGCGGCGTTTTGGCTCGTCGCGTTGTTTCCGATATGGAGTGCCGCTCAAAATAATGCATCTTCGGCGAATCTGCCGGAGCAATACCAGCTCTGCGAGAAAGAGCTCGAGATTCAGATCCTTCAAAACACCCATGGACTCGTTCGTGTCGACGCGACACCAACACACGCGGCATTGGAGCCGGGGTGGCCGGAAGTGCTTGCGACGCTGACCATCAACCTCGGCATTTTCTTATGGTCCCGCTTCACCGAGCACGGCGTCTATCTCAACCGCTTCGTCAGCTTCTTACTGCCCGTTGGCATCACCGCGCTGTGGTTTGCGACCTTTGTCGTTGCCCAATTGAAGTTCACCTCGGCCGGGTGGATCTCGGCAAGCCTCACGACGACCCTCGCGCTGTTGGCAACCATTGTGGACTGGTTGGTTGCTGTCTTCGTTTGGGGCGACAGTCGTCGGACTCAACCCTTCGCTTCGGGATGGGTTCCAGTTATCATTGGCACGATTGGTTTCATCGGCACACTCGAAGTCGCGTGCGTTTTTGCCGCCGTCGTGCAACGATTCGTCACATCAACAGAGTACGGCGCTGTCGCTTATGACATCAACGACAGTCATGGATGTATTCCGAGAGGGGGTGATGCCAATTTCCCGTTCCTCCAACAAGGGGTGCGCTCGCGCATTTTCAGCGTCATCCAGCTCGCCCAAGCCGTCTACTCTCTTGCCGCCTGTTTCGCCTTGGTCCCGTTTGCACTGAGGAAAGGGAAGAGGATGGTAAAGGAAATGATGTTGGACACGGGTCTCTCGAATCCAAACGCTTTTGGGGCTTGGATGAACCATTTGGTTGCTGCCAGGGGGTTTGCACGGTTCATGCAGACGTATCTCCCGGTGGCGACGTTGGTTTCTGGGGCTCCCATGTTACTGTATGGGGCTATTATCGCAACTAGAGGCGTGCCGGTCGCTATTTCGGGGAACTGTATGCTCGTTGAGTTGAGTCCGAGGTTTGGGTTCTTGGACTCGGAGGTTGACCTCTGGTGGAGGGTTCTGGCTGGAGCTGTCGGACATTGACGAGGAAAACTTGATGTTTGGGGAAAACCCGGGGAGGTGGCATGGTTGTTGGCAACGTCGGCTGTGTCTGGAGGGCAGGAACCTTGAAATGGACATCGCACGCTGATGCCAGCGGGGCCCTGGCCCTTGTGGCCAATACAGCGACAACTAATAGTTAATGTATCAATCCTGGGAAGCTAGCTCCGTCCCACTGGAAATCCAGGCGTGCTTGGTTGAGGACTTGGACTTGACTGCAAGCCGGAAGGTGATTAATGAAGCGATGAAATTCGACCCGCTGGTGAACGGAACGAGATCTGACAGCACCTTCCTCTGACGTCGAATTTGAGTGACACACACGATCGCGCGAAGTGGACCCGTGACTCCACTCCTTCCGTCTTGTTTTCGCGGGGTGGGTTCAAGTCTTGATCGATCAGCACCGCAGAGAGTCGACCACGTTTTTCTCTGCTGTCCTCCTGGAGGATGCCAAGATCTGCCCAACCGAAAGTCACGCGCCGACGACTATTCTCCTTGCAGAGGCCGCAATCGACCCAACCCCACGTATCAACCTTCCGACACCCGAACCCGGACACCGTTACGAGAATCCGAACCGGGGAACGTCGCTTTTCACCCGGGCCATGTCCTCCTGCCATTCCCCGAGCATGGTCTTCCTCTTCCAGCTGTCCGCCTGAAATCCTGAAATGGGAAATCCATCGTGCCAGCGCCACCAAATGGTGGGGGTTTTTAGCACCAGGAACTTTCCAGGGGTCCGTTTTGTCATCAAGGAGCCATTCCTTCGGTGCTGGGGGACGTTTTGAGGTTGCAAGGTCTGGAGACTGACTGAGGCAATTATTGCGCAGGGCATGTCGAGTTGGGCAATAGCAAAGCATCGCACAGCTTGCTTGGGGAGTGTTTGACTTCAGTTTTCACAGACACTCGATCGGGAACTTCTCAAGACACTGAATCTCATCTCAACGGGCCGTCCCAACCACGTGGGATCCCAAATTAGTGTTGTGTCGAATCGTCAGGTCTGCGGCAATTGGCGGCGGCATCTTCCCGCAGCCATCATGGTGGGTTGCTGCCAACAACGCAACTGGCAGATAAATGTCTGGCTCCGACAGCAACGTGGTGGCGGCATCAAAGCTGAAGTTCCTCGCCGTCGGGAGTTTTCCGGGAATCCGGGCTCGCTGCAGCGGTGGCAGCACAGCAGTCAGCTTTGATGAGCAATCTTACAGTGCGGACGGATGACAGGGAGGTTGCAGGAATATTGCATGCCTTGGCATGTTCTGCAAGCCTTCAGGACCCAGAGTGTCATTATTGGCTGTGCCGCGCAATACAACCGTGGGGGGGCGCACGCGCACGGCCGGGGATCCCTTGTTACGACATGCTTCAACGGCTCGGGGAAGGGAAGCCACAACAATAAATCTACGGGAGGGCGCCGCTGCCACCCGTTCGTCGATGGAATGTGCTCTTTGTGGTCTTCACCAGTCACTCTTTTTGGATCAGGGCACGGAACACAGAGTCGCGACAATGAGGTTCACCAACGGAATCGCCGCCCTCTCTGGGTTTCTCACCGCGGTGAGCGCAGGGCCATCGGGGCCATCGCCAGCGCCCCCGTCGTCGTCGATCCTGTTCAAGGGCGGGACGGTCGTGGCCTTCAACCAACAGACACAGGGACTCAAGATCATCCGCGGCGGCTCCGTCCTCGTCACCAACGACCGCATCGCCGGCGTTTACGATGCGGCTTCGGCGCCCAAGAAGAACCCCCCGGGCACCGAGGTCGTCGACATCACCGGCAAGATCATCACGCCGGGCTTCATCGACACCCACCGCCACGGATGGCAGACCGTCTTCAAGACCATGGCCTCCAACACGACCTTGATTGAGTTCTTTGGTCGCTACAGCTCCTTCGTCGCGCCCTTCTTCTGGAGCGACAGCGACGTTTACGACAGCCAGCTCGCCGGCCTGTACGAGGCCCTCAACGCCGGTGTCACCACGTCTCTCGACCACGCCACCCACACCTGGTCCAAGGGCGCCTCCGAAGCCGGTCTCAACGCTTGCATCGACAGCGGAGCTCGTGTTTTCTGGGGCTTTAGCTTCGCCAACCTCACCGGCCTCGTCACCGTCGAAGACCTCTACCCCATCTTCAAGACCATGGCCAAGAAGCCCGCGCTGAAGAACTCCCCCACCACCGTCGGCATCGCCTACGACGGCTGGGGCCCGAACCCCAACGTCGGCGAGATCAACAAGATCATGGCGCTCGCCAAGGAGCTCAACGTCTCGGTCATCACCACCCACTCCCTGCAGGGCCCGTGGGGCTTCAACAACTCCCCCGAGGACATCCACGGCCTCGGCTACCTCAACATCTCCATCCCCATCGTCTTCTCGCACGCCTCGTTCCTGACGCCCACCGGCGCCGACCTCCTGCGCTCGACCAACCAGTACATCTCCATCACGCCCGAGTCCGAGATGCACTACGGCCAGGCGCACCCCGTCAGCTACCACATCCAGGACCAAGCGTCCATCGGCATCGACACCCACATCACCTTCAGCACCGACATCCTCACCCAGGCCCGCATCTGGCTGCAGCAGACCCGCTACGAGGCCTACCTCGACGTCCTCGAGCAGGACAAGCTCCCCGCCTCCAACCCCATGTCCGTCGAGCAGGCCTTCCTCCTCGCCACCCGCCACGGCGGCCTCGCCCTGCGTCGCCCCGATCTCGGTGTTATTGCTGAGGGCGCCAAGGCCGATCTCATCGTCTGGGATGGCACCTCCCCCGCCATGCTCGGCTGGGTGGATCCCGTCGCGGCCGTCATCCTACACGCCAGCGTGGGTGATATCGAGTCGGTGCTTGTGGATGGCAAGTGGGCCAAGAAGAACTTTAAGCTCACCGCCAAGGGGTGGCCTGCGGCGCGGACCAAGTTCTTGAAGACGGCGGAGAAGCTGCAGGCGATTTGGAAGGGGATGCCGTTACCGGCGCCTCCGCCGGAGTTTAATGGGCGGGAGGTGGTCGATCCGAAGAGGGTGGATTCGCTGCGGGGACCGGGCGATGGGTATGGGAGTATCTATATTTGAGTGGGCGGAGTTTGATAGTGGTGGTGGCGGTGTGTTAGATGTATTGTAATTATTTTGCAACTGTTCGGTTTGGAAAAGCTGCATGGCACGTACACATTTGGGTGGGAGATAGAAAATATTTTAGTACTAAATAACAGACTGTATATGCTTCCCCTGTTATGAATTGATCCCTTCCGTTCCCTGAAGACCTGTGACTTGGAAGCCTGAGAGGGTTCATAAATGACGGTCTACCTCGACTGCGTGTGACTACCGTACCTGGCATCTATCATGACTTGATCCCTCCAATTACTATGCATCAAAGCATGCTCCCAGACCAATACTTGTAATCAAGCCCCTCACCACTCCCATCCCCAACCATCGTCTCCCGAAAAAACTCCCAGCACTTCACCTGCTCAAACGCATCCGGCCATCCAAACCTCCGAAACGTCTGCCTAATGAACCCATAATCCACAGCAGTCTTCTCCACCAGCGTATATCCATCTCCTTCCCTCCACCTCTCCGCCTCCCGCTGGCTGCAAACTTCCTCCAGCGTGATCTCACCCCCCTCCCACTCCGGCACATCCTCACACTCCAACGTCTCGCACCCCGGGAACGGAATCAACTTCAAACTGCGATACTTCCCCTTCAGATCCTCGATCCACTCCCGCATGTCACACAACGCCTCCCTCCCACGACCTTCCGCCTCCTCCTGAATCACACCATGACGCGCATGGACGATGATCCATCGGCTGCCATGTCCGTCGTGGCCTGTAGAAAAGAAGAATGCATCCCGCACATCCATGCCCACGTCCTCTACCATGCCGCGGAGCAATTTGTTAAATTCGTTGCCTTTGGGATCGATATAGATGTTGGATTTGTAGTGGGAGTGGATCGTCCCGTAGCTCTTGTCATACTGCATCCGTGGAATGCGGCGAATGACTTCGTTGGCGAGGTCCGATTTGGCCGGGTTGGGTTGGACGAATGTGAAGCCTCCTTGCGGTGGGTCCAGGATGGTGGCTTCGAAGTAGAGAGTTTTGGATAGGAACTCGTGGAGGTCTCGAAACATGTGGCCGATTTGTTGGGGGGTGTATGGGGGTTGGTGCTCTGAGATCGACGGGGCTTGGGATTCTGCGGGGGTGGGTATGGGGGCTCCTGCGGATGCCGTGGTTGAAGTGGAAGATGGTTCATTTCGATCTTGAGTTTCCATGTCTTGGTGAGGTCGAGTTAGCTGCTGTTCTGAAGTCATCTTGCTTGTGGCTCTGTGGATTGTGGGAGGATGTTGGTCAGGATGTGGGGTTGGCTTGACAATGAGCCTCACGTTCTTTTCGGCATTCCCGCGCTGCGCCCAGTTTATCGTGCGTGGTTATCGGCTAGTTTTCTAGCCGATTAGTAACAACTCCTGAACCAGTAACCGGGTTGCACTGTTAGGGCATGTTAGCTAGCTTGCCAAGGATCACAGTGTGGGAGAAAGCAGTCGAATGGGAGACAAGATATCGAATTCCAATAGCAATTCCATTTTCCCACTCATAAAAGCAAGCACTCAAGTTGATAACCTGCCCGATTCCCATTGTGTTCCTCTATTACAATCTGCAGCAGTCTGCAAAAACACCCAACCCGTTCTGCATCCCGAACCTCGACCTTCATAGACCTCAGCCCTTGTGCTGCGCACACAACGAAGCAGGACCGAATCAGCAATCATACGTAGCCATCGCGTGAGCGCAGCACTTCCTGAACGCGATAATCTTCCAGAGAGTGTAGCCAATGCTATCCCAAGGCAATCGTTATCATTCTCCGTAAAGCTTCCCAGCAACCGATCGCAGCATCTCTTCGTCTCGCGGATATTGTTTTCATTGGCGGTAATGCACTTGCAGGCGTCGCTGAAGGGAGTGAAAGACAGCATGGCAAACGCAACAGAAATGGCGATGTAGTGTTGGAGGCGCGTGATGGGGTTGAAGATGACCAGTGGTCTTGATAGTGCCGTCTGTTCTGGTGGAAGAGCCAGGGACAGCATTGGGATCTGGATCAAGGGGGGTCCCAGCTTATGCAGGGGTGGTGCTGTCTTGTCGTGAAGGCAGTTGTTGGCTGTTGGTGGTGTCGAAGAGCCAGGGGATGGACGGCTGGGTAGTTTGACTTGAAAAGACTCCAGAACCGGTTGCTATAACCGTGAAGATCGAAGTCCAACACTCACCAACAACCAACTGCCCCCTTGTTGTAGCTTTCCGGGCCAGTGATGGAACGATGCAATCCTCGGCATGGCTGCATGTTGAGTAGCTCAAAGATTCAAAGAAGACAAGCCAACCCGAGGTCAGGGTTGACCAGTGCAACGTGGCCGATTATTCCGTCCCGAGAAGATGGCGATGCAGTCACACCGTTCGCGTAATGTCTGGCGATCCCAAAACGTTGAGCTCTGGGCTCAGGCAAAAATGAATGCAACTCAAATGTCACGATCCACCCAGGGGTCGAACCTGGAACCTCCTGATCACTCGAACCGATGTGGTGTCGTAGTCAGACGCTCTGCCATTGAGCCAGCGGACCCGTTGATGATTTTTGCTGTGGATAATTTGTGAGTCATGGTGTGGTCAAGCGTGTGGCAAAAAGAAACCGCCCATCCACGGTCCTGGGTCCACCTCACCCGTCCCCATGCAAAAATATCAAAGAAAGGCATATCCTTGGATCGGTGCTGTCGAAAACTGCCCGGAGCAGGAGTCGTGCCGCTGTGTTGGAAGTATGGGCTTTTGTTCAGTCCGGCACATCCATGCTTGAACGGGCTCAAGCTTGTCCAAGCTTGTCTGGGATGGATTCCAAGAAAGGGGCGTACAGCCAACCAGCCACGGAATTCGCCGGTGTGGCACCGAGCTCTGCCAACGCGCCGGCTTGCCTCTCAACGGTAACTCTTGGCAATCCAGGTCAACAGGGCGACTTTACTTGGAGAGACTGCATATTTTGTCGCCCGTGGTCGACGTCGACTCCCGGCGGATTTCCTCTCATGTCTGGAGTTATTTTGAGAAGGGCGTATTAAGGAGGGCGGCACCTGCCCCTCTTCACCATCGCCTTGCCCCTCGTGTAAAAGGTCTGCGATGGTTTGATGATATCTTGGACGTTGCTCGTCGGCCAGCTGACTGACTCGGACGCCAAGGCCTTCGATGTCCCTGACACGAGTTGCAGCGCGTGCTGAGGCTGCTTCTTGTTCATCTCTGATTGATGATGCAGCCTCCTGATCGTTGTTTTGTTCAGCTTGTTCCAGGCTCAGTTGCAGCTCTGCCAACTCCCGCGTTGTTTTCTCTCGCTCCCCGAGGATCTCTTGCGCCAAAAGTTTCCCGACTGCGGTGTCATCCAAAGTCCTTCCCTCGTCCCCGAGCTCGCGTTGGATTGCCAATGTGATGGGCCGTCTGGGTAAAGATTTTCTTGTGGCTAGCTCGCGCACGATGTTGAGAGCAGAAGCCGCGTCGCCCATATGCTTCTTCACCAAACATCCCCCACGAATCATATCCGCCCAGAAGAGATTCTGCAACTCCTCCAATCGCCTCTTCTCCACAGCTTTCTTTTCATTATCGTGCGACCACATGGTGGAAGTCAAAACCACGTGTCGGTAGTTTTGCTCGCCACACAAGCTCTTGAAAATTCGGAGGTTTTTGGTCGCTGCTCCAGACATTCGCGGGTCTGAAATGCGGTGCAGATAGATGATCCCTGCGAGACGGACGCCCTTTTCGTGTAGCATGACAAGGAAAAATGATATCTCCTTCAGAATCTCCGCATCCGGGCGTGATGTGTCGTCAAATCCTGGTGTGTCAACCAGGAACACGTTCTTGCCACCGAACTGGTCTCTCAACTTGTACGGTCGCGTGCTGATGGTGTCTACAATAAAAGTTAATTCTTGAGCATCATATATCGCTCCGAGATCGATTTCAATCGCTTTGGGTCACCTACGCGAGTGCAGACGGTGGGATATTTCCACAGGCTCGTCGGAAAGAAGAGAAATGAAGGAGCTCTTGCCAGAGCCAGTCGGGCCCATGACGACGATCATGGCGCTGTCGGCCCTTGGGCAAAACAAAACCAGGTCAGGCTGCGATTCCGAATGCCGCTGGTACGGTGGGACTCACAGTGGGGGCCCGTTAAGTGATTCCATGTTTTTGCGCTGACCCAGAAACCCGGGTGCGGGGTTTGGTGGGACAGTTGCGTTGGCTCTCGAAAGACAGGCGGGTGTCCCGTGCAAAAACCATGGGGGGCGCCGCCCTGTTTGTGTTGAGATCAAGAAGCGTGAAAGACGTCCATGGATGTTTGTTAACGACTTTGCACAAAAAGGAAGACGCGGGAAGTCGAGTCTCGGACTCGTTGGACTCGTCGGGCGCGGGAAGGAACTAGTGGCCTCAGCTGGGTCCACAACGGGAGCCTCGCGAGATATGTTTGGCGGAGGAAGGAGCCTGCATGCTGCAGGTGGTGGCACGATGTCCGTTTTGGAAGCGCAGAATTCCAGTCGAATGCGGCACCTGAAAGGCCGGTGCAGGTGCCGGCTCCCGCGGCCGACTCTGATTCACCCAAAGCCCGCCGACGTCCGCCACTCAACTGCCAAGACCCAGATTAATGGCTGTCACTCGGCCACATTGGTGATGGCTAGCGGCTCCCACATGCGCCCCGGGCAGAGGCCTCACCAGCAGGACCTTAGCAGCAGCGGCAGCCTTACCGGAGTCGCGCCCCAGGGTGAGTGTTTCCCTGTGTTCCCCGCCGATCCGTCCATTCTCGCATCCCCATCCCATCCTCTGTCCGACCCTGCCCCCTATCTTCTCCGAGCCATGCTCATTTCTCCGAGACGCAACGCGGGATTGCTACCATTACCGTCTCGAAACTGACGATGTCTTCGTCCATCCAGGAATACTTTGACGCCGCCGAGAATTGGGACCGACCCCGCGCCGCGAGCACTAGCATTCCTCATCACCCTCCCAACGCATCGCGAACCCCGAGGCATGCCTCCAACCCGGGTCCTCAGCTTCGAGGCCCGGCGCGTTCCTCGCGCGAGAGTCGAGAGCCACCGTCCTCCTCAACTGCGCAGACACCGCAAGCTACTTCTCGCCCTTCTGCAGCTTCGACATCCCAGGCCAACCCCCGAGGTCCTCGACGGGGCACCCAGACCGTGCGAAATGCAACGCCGCGGTCGTCCCAGGACGTGTCATCTCGGCCGTCGCGCGACCCATATCTCTTGGCGAGAGTCGATCGCGAGAGAGATGAACCGCCCCCACCACCTTACGAACCCCTGCCCCCTCGAACTGTTCTCCCCGGAAGTCGGGCTTCCTCGTCGGCAGACCGGGTCGCGCTGGAGGAAATGGTGCCCGGGCTCGAAGTAGTCGACCCGCCGGCTATATCCAGGTTTGTTGCCACCAAGAGAGGACAGAGTCTCGCCATCAACTACGGGCCTGTTGGCTGACCTCGCACCATATCAGGCTGCAGGATGTTCGGAATGGTGACGCCGTGATTGCGGTCATGGGCATGACCGGGTCGGGAAAAAGCACGTTCATATCACACTTCTGTAGGACAGCTCGAGGAGATCATGGGCTTCGATCCGGTAATGCCAGTCCTTTTCTTCCTCTTTCCATCTCCGCTTGGGCTGGATCTAACAGGCTTTGAACCAAAAAGCGACTGCCCGGGTCGAAGCACATGTGGGCAACCATCCTGACTTTCCTGACCGGCGGGTCATATTTGTCGACACGCCTGGTTTCGATGACACGTTACGAACCGATACCGAAGTTCTGCGCGAAATTGTCAACTGGCTCAATGTGACGTATGCGCAGAACATCAAGGTGTGCGGCATCGTGTACTTGCATGGCGTCAACGTCCCTCGTGTCAGTGGCGCCGCGCACGCGACTATGCGCCTCTTTCGTGAACTCTGCGGAGACGAATCCATGGCCTCCGTCGTCCTCGCCACTAGTCATTGGAGCCAGTCTCCCATGGAGCGGGCTTCTCAGGAGTTACGACATGAGCAGCTGGTGGGCGATGACGCATTCTGGCGGCGAATGGAACGGAACGGGGCGCGCGTCTTCAAACATGACCGGGGCGAGATCTCAGCACGCGCAATCGTGCACTACCTCCTCAACCGTGCAGGCGGTGGCGTGAATCTGCGAGTTCAGCGCGAGATGGCGGAGGGTCGGACGTTGGATCAGACAGCGGTTGGCATGGCTCTGGAGAGGAGGATGGAGGAGATGCGGGCCTCTTACGAGCGTGAACTCGGCAACCTCAAGAGAGAGCTGGAAGAAGCTCGAAGACAAACAGCGCAGAACCAGCAAAGAATCGAGGAGATCAACGAGGATCGCCTGAGGCTGGAAGAGCGACTGGACGAGGAGAAAGCGTACCGGCGGCAGCTGAGGAAGAATCTCAAGCAGCTTCAGCGAGAGCGCAGCGAAGAGCGACGCAACGAGCGAAGACACCGTGAGCAGGGAACCCGAAGGCACAGCCAAAAGCAAAAGGAGTGCGTCATCATGTGACGACCCCTTACAACCGTTTGGCCCAACGCCTCCACGCACAACGGTCAAACTAGCTCTGGGAATTCCGGGTCGAGCCGAAAACCCGAGTGCGCCATCCTCGGTCCAGTGAACACATCACATTGTGGGACCCGAGCCACCCAAATCTCGTCCAGGTGCAGGAATTGACCAAAAAAACTTGGACAAACCGGCAACAAGACAACACACCCCTTCTATGACAGGCCAGGAATTTCGCTGCCATCATCCCGTGGTTGTTTCTGTGTCATAATAAGCGCCAGCGGCCTACTGGAGGGCACCGAAAACAGCGGGATCCCAGAGTGGGAAGCGAGGATGGACCCCCTGGTGGCAAGGTCATTTCATAATGTCACGCGAAGCCCCCTCTGCCGCCTCCCCGAGGAGCTCCTCCTCAAGATCATGACACGGCTTGCCGAGGGAGATTCGAATCTGCAAACACTACAGAACTTGCGTAGCACCTCTCGCCTGTTTCTGCGTTTGTCCTATTCTCCGGAGTTGCGTCACGGCTACCCCCGAACATCACCAAAGTTCGACCCGAACGAGCACTTCCGACCCTGGCCCGCAGTCCGCATCCACCCCGTGGCCAGTCCACACTGGATGGAGAGTCTATGCTCGGTTTGCAAGGCGAACAATCTCAAATTTCGTGGACTGAACGTCGGCAACAGCGCATATTGTCACCACTGCAGAGAGCCTCACCACTCAGCCTACTTCTGCAACGAAGACCGACAACGAGTCGGCCGCAGGCTCTGTATTGCCGATAAAGCTTGTGTTGGTTACAGCGGAGCAGTGCGACTTTGCAAACACAAGAGCATCCGATGGAGAAAATCGTGGCTCCAATTGGGCGAGGCAGATCCAAGGCGATTGAAACTCCTTTCCTGCGATGACCCCAGCCACATTCCAGGCCATCATGACGACGGTTTTTTCCGGACTTCCGGAGACAACCTTGCGCCCTCTGTTTTCATAGAGGTCATCAAATCGCACCTAGGGAAGAGGGAGGTATGGGTCAAACAACTCTTGTTGGAGTGGACGGGGCACATGCGTCTTCCGGAC